TTTTGCAGAATAAACAGTTTAACCGTGCAAGTTGGATTGTTTTATATTTGTGACCCAATGTTGGACATTCTGTTCTTTCATTATCATGGGCTTTTCTCAGGAATAAACCAAAAGTTGTGATTTTGTGTGTGTGTGTCAAATGTCAGATCTGAAGGCTTTTGAATAAAGAAGCCACAACTTGAAAGAATGTTCCTTCTTGTACTGATTGAGTAATTGTGGTCACTTTCACACTGTCCTTATGTCAGATCCTGAGGTTGGAACTCTAATGGCCTAATAATTTTTTAGAATATGAGACTAGGAACAGCTGCCAATATAAACCATCATTTTCCTTTCATCTAAGTACATCTGAACTTTTTTGAAAGTGGTATATTATTTGGTTACTTTTCCAATTTTTTAAACTGATTTTTTAACAGATAATAAAAGTAATTTCTAGACATACTGCTTTCTCTGATTAACCTTCAAAAGGTCACGTCTTACATCTTTAAATTACGAGCAAATTTGGAAAATGGTACCTTTTTAAAAAGCAAATGTAATTTCACTTCTAGTTTGATAACATTGATAAAATATGGTTGACTTAGACTTTTCACTGTGTGGAGTGTGGAGAAAGATCAGATGTAATTCTGTGACCCGTCCTGTTAGAAACGCTTTCAGCTAGAGTCCCGTAAGGCTCAATTCTCAGCTGCCCCCTCACCCCCAAGTTCTCACCGGCCCCCTTGGCCTCCTCCCCCTCTGCCTGCTCTTCCGTGGGCTGTCAGCCATGATTCAGATTCTTAAACCTCTTCGCTTTCGACTTACTTCCCCAAGGAAGTGTCCTATTTGCACCTAGTCTGAGACCCCTCTCCGCTGCTCAGAACCCCCTCCCACTGTGACTGATCCTCTGTGAAGTCCCACCAGCACCTTAAACTCAACTTGTCAAAAACCAGCCTGCCTCCACTGCTCTGGCTCCTTGTCCCTCCAGTAGTCCGCGGTGTCTATTCTGTGGTCGTCCAGTGTCAAAGCCTTGTGGTATCTCGGAGTCCCTCTTTCCCTTGACGCCCCATTCATGATTCTGCCACCGCCACCCCCAGCCCTCCTTCAAGCCCTCCTGTCCCGTCTGGCCTGTGCTTTTGCAGCAGCCTCCTTACTTGAGCCCTGGCTTCACTCTGCAGAGTTAGTCGCTCACAATTCAAGGGAAAAAATACCGCAGCATGAACAGGGCCAAATACTGCCACAGGATGGGGAAGAAAACTGGCTTCCGGCTTGGGCATTTGGGAGGGAACAAGTGACTGATGAAAATGGACTCGGGAGCGTGGAGGAGACAGCTGGCCGGTGTGACGGGGATGCCCAGAGGGTAGAGAGGAGGACAGGGGACGCTGCGTGTGGCTGCTCCCAGGGTCCGCTACCACACGAGGCGGAGGGAGACGAGGCAGGGAGCAATGTTTTGTTTAAGACAACAGAGATGCACATCTCCTTTATTTTCTTCTATGAAATAAAAATAAAAACTCGGGGCACCTGGGTGGCTCAGTCGGTTGAGTGCCAGACTCTTGGTTTCAGCTCAGGTCATGATCTCAGGGTCGTCGGGCTCCGTGGTCTGCGGGGAGTCTGCTTGAGGATTCTCTCTCCCTCTCCCTCTGCCCCTCACCTCCCCCGCCCCCATGCATGTGCATGAGCGCGTGCTCTCGCTCTCTCTCAAATAAATAAATAAATAAATCTTTAAAAAAATAGAATAAAGATAAAAATTAAAACTAAAAAAAATACAGGAAGTGGTGTATTTTTTATTGTGGCAGAAAGCAGACAATATATTACCACAAGTAACAACAATGTCATATATATACATATATAATATATGTCTAGCTATAGATATTTGGAAGGTATAGTTGTATCTTCTCTGTTTCGAGAAACATAATAACCTTTAGTTGAATGTGCTGCATTCAGGACGTTTAGAAGCCCTGATGATTGAAGTACATTTCCTCAGGGAGGATAGCTCAAATATTTATTAGCTCCTTCCACAAACATGAATTCAGTGTCAAGTGTGTGCCAGGCGTCGAGCTGGTCTGGCACTAGGCTTGCAGGCCTGAGGGGGAGAGAGCCCCGAGCTGCTGCTTATGCTCTCAGTCCTGCATGGACACGGACGCTGATTCTCTGAAGCACTAGAAGGGTAAAAGCCCTGAGGAGTCCATTCTTAGCTCTCAGGATTGACGCCATCAAGCAGAGCAGGTGGGGAAGCTTGCAAGCAAAGAAAAGAGAAAAATAGGTACAGAGGGAGAAGGAGGCAGCGCGAATAGCAAAATGTACAGAATGTGAAGTTAATGTTTTAAAATTCCAGTCCAGTGCCTGAAAACCAGCCACGGGGACCTGAGCAGGCTACGGAACCTCGCCAAACCTCAATTCTGTGCTCTCCAACGCAGAGGAAGCAGCATCTACTGCCCAGGATTGCAGTGAGGGTTAAAAATAAACCCCACACAGTCAGTGATAGCCGCCCTGGTTATTGATCCTGGCCACAGCCCCGCAGCGGGACGCCGAGGCTTCACGGGGCTCAGCCTGGCCAGAACCAGAAGACAGAGGTCCCTGCAAGCCACGCTCAGGACTTTGAGCTGTATCTCAGGGACGCTGGAGTCTTGTTCAAGCATTTCAGTGGGGCGCTGACATAATTAGATTTCGGTTTAAGAAGATCTCTCTGACAGCAGGATGAGAGTGGATGGGAGAGCAGGAAAGACTGGGAACAAAAAAACATGCAAACATTCTTCCCACTACAGTAATCCTTCCTCTCCCCAATGATGCCATCAGAGAAGCGGATACGATCCTATTTATTGGTAGCTACCAAAAGGAAAAAAGAAACTGTGACTTGATCAACAAACATAGGAACAGTTACATTCCCAGACCACAATACCAGAATTGTAAACAAGAAGACCTTCAAGCTTGTTGGCAGACTTGGTTGAATTGGGGATTTTATAGTCAAACATAATATCAAAGAGCCCCTAAAGCTTTTAACCTCATCCTCAGACCTTTTTACTTTTTAAATTAGAGGTTCTTGGCCTGGGGTTCAGCCGTGGATGGGCTTCAGGCAATCTGTAGACTCCCTGATCTCAAAGACCGAATCATAAGCATACTTTTTCCATGTGGGGAGTGACCACATCTCATTCATCAGATGCTGGCTTGCTGGATCTAGAACCCCAGAAAAGGTGAAGAACCACTATGTATATCTGTATGTAGATATACCTAGCTTCAACCCAACATCTTTGCTTGGATGTATAATGGGCATCCCAGACTTAACGTAATGCATCCCAAGCTAAACAGATGTTCTGCTCCGACCCCTCCCTTACCTTCCCCAACTGCCTTCTTCTACCTGCTCAAGCGAAAATCCTGGGGATCTTTTTATTTCCATGCTCTGCATCCACCCCTTGGGGCTGTCACTCTATCTCTAAACCCCCAACTGCCACCACCCACCACCCTGGTCCATTTCCCCATTGTCCTTCCCCAGTATGTTTCAATGCCTCTACCCTGCCTCCCTGCTTCTGCCCTTATCCCTTTTCCATCTATTCCTTACAGAAACTAAAGCAACACTTGCCCACACCCTCCAGTAGCCTTCCTTCTACCTCTGAATAAAATCTAAAGTTCTTATTTGCCCTCCAAGGCTTTGCGTGACTTAATGTGACTTGGCACCTATGATGTCCCTGATGGTTTGGCTCACCCTGTGCCCACTCTCCATGCTGACTCAAACACGCCATCTCAGGGCCTTTGCACATACAGTGTCCCCTACTTGGAAGGCTCTGCCTGCAGTTGTCCATGACTTGCTCTCTCTCCTCCTTCCAGTCGTTGTTCAAGTCATCTCAGACCACCGGTTTAATATTGCAATACCTTCCCCGACCCCAATCCAGAATATTCTCCTGGCCTGCTTTATTTCTCTTCTATACTTATCACTGATATATTACACTTATTTGCTTATTGTCTACCCCCCAATGTAATATAAGCTTCATGAGAACAGGGAATTTTTTGTTGTCTGGTTTCTTTTACTATTCTATTTCGAGTGCCTATCACAGTTCTTGACACATAGCAGGAAGTCCGTTGTCTTGATTGAATGAATTTTGAGAATTTATTTGGTACCTTTGCAGTTACCATGCCATGTGTCCTTCTCCCTGTAACTTTCTGTATATCATATCCATAATTACGTCAGATTGTTTGAGTGCATTCTATTTCTTTTCGACTTCCCCTCTTTACTTAAAATAGTGATGGAGGCAATGATGATTATTGATCTCATGGTTCCTAAATTCCCCATGTTAACCTGAATTCTGTTTCCAGCAGCCACTTGGCCACTGAAAGAGCTCCTCTCCGTACACTTCTTACAGGCTCCTCAAATTCCACACCATCCTTCATGACTTAATGAAGAAATTCCTTTAAGGTTACTATTAGTGTAATTTGGAAACCTGTCATGTTAGTCCGACATTACAATTCCTAGGCTGTCACAACACTTCTCAGAGTGCAGCGTACCTTGCAGGTGGACGAGAGAGCTACATTCATTAGCGATAGCTTTATGCTTGATTGCATGCTTGTGGCTCTGTGCTGGGAATATCAGAGACATTTTTTTTTAAAGGTTTTATTTATTTATTTGACAGGAAGAGAGAAAGCACAAGCAGGGAGAGCAGCAGGTAGAGGGAGAGGGAGAAGCAGGCTCCCCGCCGAGCAGGGAGCCAGACGCGGGGCTCAATCCCAGGACCCTGGGATCATGACCTGAGCCGAAGGCAGACGCTTCACCCACTGAGCCACCCAGGCGCCCCAGAGACATTTTTATAAACGGAATGTGCTAATGTGTCTGTCTTCTGTTTGGAATTTGTGATACTGGTTATTCCTAAAGCAGAAAACACCTGGGCGTCACCTTAAAAGTTTGGTTTTGTTTGCCTGAGCTCCGGGGAAGAGCAGTAATGGCTCGAGCCGAGGCCTTTCTAATGCCAGTTCAGGTGGCAAGACTTCGTTTCGAGGATGCGAATTTTTAACATGTACGTGTTCATCTTACACCGTTTCAGGCTTTACAAGACGAACTAGAAAACCGCGCTAACCAGGTGCGATGCGCAGAGAAGAAACTACAGCACAAGGAACTAGAGTCACAGGAACAGGTAGGCACTCCCCACTGCCGCTGGGCCGGTTGGCCGGCTTCCTGTCCCCAGGCCAAGCCGCTTCCTTACTTCCCGTTGCCCCTGGGGTGCGCCGGCTGCGAGGAGCAGAATACCCCACCCCTAGTTGGCGGAAGCGGCGTGGGGACCGATCAGCTCCCATGACCGGAAGTCTGCAGGTAGGGCAGGCTCTGCTTCTCTGCCATTCCCGTGGCTCCCCCTCCCATGATGGCTTCATCCCAAACGCAATCCAAGAGGCCCACTGCAGCTCCAGGCATACCGTGCCGACCTGGCAGTGTCCAGAATGCCCTTCTGAAGAGTAAGAAGACCTTTCCCCGACCGCCGCCCCCCTCCGTGCCTCCCTTCACATCTCATTGGCCAGAACCGGTCATGTGCTCAGCCTGGCCTGTCCAGTCCCTGGCAAGAGGACTCAGAGGCCCAAGCTAGCCTAGACCGATCGGGAGGCACCTGCTGGTGAGGGACTAGGAGAGGAAAGACGGCCTGGACCGAGAAGGGGGGAAATGGAGGCTGAGTATGCAGCCGGCAGTGGCTGCCACGTCATCACACTCAGATGTATGGACATTCTCGTACTCACGTAAATCAGATTTTCTTTTGAACTTTACTTTTCCCCCTCTTTGCATTATGTTGATGAAATAAGTCTAAAATAACCAGAATAATCTGGCTATGACAGTAGCTAATGACCTATTTTATTTTCAAATGACAGGATTATTTTCATCCAGTACTTCTGGTTATAGTGAATTATTCTTTGTGGTAATTTTGACAGCTTAAACTAAAAAGTCAACAACGTTATCAATAGAGATTGTGAGTCTTGATGAAACCTTTGATAAACGCATTTTCCCCAGCCATTGGATAGAGGATTGCTAACGTTCTCCTAAGTGCCACCAGCCTTTGTGCCCAGAAAGTGCCATAGGTATGGACAGATTCTCACACTTCAGTTGTCTCGTAGAAGCATTAGGTTAGATAATTAAGACCTTGTGGGAAGAGTAAACACTGAAGTACGGCTAAGAGGGAAACTTTATTCATCTTTGCAGATGTTTACAAACAGGAACCGAGGTAGGGGATTGCACAAAATGGCAAACGTGAGCACCTAGTAGATGCTGAATATTACCGCTTAGTGCATTGACTTGACCTCCTATAATTCCTTCCTACTCTCTGACCTGTATCCTGTGTAACATATATGCCATGTATCTATGTATATATCATGTCTTATACAATGTGCATAAGTATGTATGTATGTGCACATACATGGATATATATGAATTTCCTAGAGTCTAATGTACAGTCAATAACAGGATCACAATGTAAGATGATACTAGGATGAAACATTTAATAATAACTACACTTGATCAAAGGTGTGAAGGTGACAGACACTGTCTGAGACACGATACACACGGTAGTTCCCTTGTCATGATAATAACCACATAGGGCCAGGACTATCATCCCCGTTTCACCGAGGGCACGCTAAAACCCGGAGAGGCTGAGTAACTCGTCCAAGCTCACACAAGTAGTGACTAGTAGAGGCGGATTCGAAGCCGGATGTATCAGAATTCTGAACCCTTCCTCCTTCCATGACATTTCTGGTGAATAAAAAGGCTGCACAGCAGTGACGAACGGTTGCAGATACCTGGTACGGTGGCAAATGCTGCTAACCCTCCGTGGGCCGAGCGCAGCAAAGAGCGAAGGCGACCAAAGCCGAGCAGATTTGGCTGCAGATGACGACGGCTCATGGGACGGTGGCGTAGTGTTCAGCTGCAGCCCCCATAGGCCTGCTCGCCACAGAAGGGCGGCTGAGCTCACTCTGTCTGAGATGCTCAGAACTAGAAGACCAGCTGCTTAAAGGCAGGAAATGGTGCTCCCTCCTGGGGCTCCTCCAATTTGTGATAAAATATGACTTAAGGTAAAACTTTGTTGACATCACTCTAATTCGTGGCAAAACTTCACACAGAAAATTCCATAATATATTGAGAGTAGGGAAATTAAGAAATCCCAAATGAACAATAGGGAAGGATTCAGGGGCCATTTTCTGTCTTTTTTTATTGACTTCTTTTTGATCATCAAAGTTGCTTTCATCTTTGTAGTGACAATGGCTTTTTAGACTATTTCTTGCACTAATTCCTGATATCTTCTGTTAGGGCTACAGTTTACCAAAGAAATGTCAGGAAATACCCATGGGTAAAACTGAGTATTTCGTAATCATTGCAACCATAAAATGTTGAATTCTTTCCACAAGATCCTAGGGTGTGGCTAGGATTCGATGCCAATTGTTTCAACAAAACTCAAGAGCAAATAATGGGCACATAATAAATCCTATTCCTCTATCTTTCCCTTAATTTAACTTTGGTTTTATCTAAATTTGACCCATGGCCCCCTTTCAACTTGTGACACTAATGGAAATAGTCAAAAATAATTACAAGTATCGCCATGGACATTTTGTAGGGTCTCCTTATAGATGAGCTTACTTAGGATATTTCAAATGTCGAAATTGTTGTGTAGGGTTTTCTTTTTTGCATCTGTCAAAGCAACTGTAGGACCAGTAGCCAGCCTGACATCAGCCTCTCAAACAATCAAAACAACTTCTTGGAAATTTCTTCTCTTTCTTTTCAACCAAATATTATTATCCTGATACTCGTTGCACAAAGAATCAAAATTGAGACTGGCAGAATTACAAAAGACAATTTCCTGGCCTTCCTTTTTTAACTTGCTTGCTTTAAAAAAAAAAAAAAAAAGTTTAAACTGTTTCTGCTTTTCATTTAAGAAAAATTCCTGTGTTTTGAGTCTATAAAAACAAAAAATGAATGAGGCATTTTAAAAGTTATGTTTTTAATTAAAAACAAAAAGCTGCTTCTCATCAGGTCTTGATGGGTGGTATTCTTGCTGTCCACCCCTTGCCTGCGCGCCGTCACCTCTCCCCTCACCCCAGGGGCTGCAGTCAACGGAGTCACCAAAGAAGGCTTGTTCACCCATAGTTCCAAAGGGTTAATGTGCTCTGATGCACCTTCAAGATAACACAAATAAAATGAGAAGAATACTAATTTTCTAAGTCAGCCCTATAGAAGCACGTTTCCTATAATCCACAAATAACAAAGTAATTTAAAAATCATCCTTATTTTTCTCCATACCAGGAGTTAATAAATTTCGAATTCTAGATTAGATCAAGCAAGAATCCTGTAAGTGCAGCAAGAAAAAGGGATCAGAGCTCTGAGCGAACTTCCTCATTGTGCAAGGAAACGAAGCCATCAGAAAAGGAAGGGAATCCCTAACGTGGTAGTGGTGGGCCCAGGGTAGGACTGCTCCTACCTATCCAGCTCACTCGCAGGAAATTATTTTCCGTTATATGGAGCACTCTGTAAAGTGGATAAATGCCACGCATCTCTTAGGTTCAGATATGTGTAAAACTAAATCTCATTCATGGGAGCAAACAAGATTTCATTGTTTGCAATGAGACTAAGTAATTTTCTAGCCCTGGCCAAGATAATTTGGTCTGATAAGTTATAGAAAAGAGAAGGAAGAAAAGAAATAGTCTAACATTTTACTTGGTATTTTTAACACTATACAAAGCAATATTTATCACAAAGTCCCCAAACAATGTCTGATAATAACATACATGGGACAAAACCCCTCCTTTGAGCTGAGTATCTTAAGTTTTGAAAGTATGAGTAGCTTTGATTACATTGGTCACACAGTTTCTCAGCAGATGATTTTAAATAAGTTAGTAAAAAAAACAATACCTTCAAGATCCAATAAATAAAGTATAATGCTGCGCATTTCACTCGCAGGGTCCTACTTTTTTTTTTGCACAAAGTCTCATTCTTTTGATAGGCATATTGTGCCAGGCAGTGATCGGTACTGAGAAGACACGAAGATGAATAAGTCATAGTTCTTGTCCTCAAGGAGCTTACAGTCAAGTAGAGTAGAGAACATATGTGTAAAAGGGACTTCAGGCATGGAATATAAAGGAGGGTTTTTTTTTTTCTTCTAACTGGCATAGAGGTTCAAACTCACAAGATGCAGAAAGAACACGCACGTTGTTACTGCTGTCCATCTTCCCCAAGGGGAAGGGACAGAAAGATCTCTAGCTGGTAACAGGGTAGGGTCCACCTCCCCAGGTAGGCCGTGGTTTCAGGAGCCTGTGGCCTTCAGGGGAACCAGGTCCTTGCTGAATGGTCGGGACTGGGGAGGCGAGGGGGAGCAGTACTTCTGCCAGCTTCTTGTGGAGCACATGGGCCCCTACCTCATCTTGTTGCCTGGGACTGCCCTTGGAGAGCCTGTCTGGTTTTATGGCTAGCATTTTGGGGCAGCCAGCTGGTTTAGTTCCTAGTCGTATCTGGTGTGCCCAGGCATGAAGGGTCTGGACTGCGCTGACACAAGTAATTCATAAATTGTCTTAAAATATAGAGTAAAGGCAACCTGCTGAATGGGAAAAGCTATTTGCAAATGATATATCCTATAATGGCTAACATCCAAAATATATAAAGAACTTATACGACTCAACACCAAAATAACCCAAGCGATCCGATTAAAAAATGGGCAGAGGACCTGAATAGACATTTCTCCAAAGAAGACATCCAGATGGCCATCAGACACATGAAAAGATGCTCAACATCACTCATCATCAGGGAACTGCAAATCAGACCACAATAAGATATTACCTCACACCTGTCAGAATGGCTGGAAGCAAAAAGACAAGAAATAACAGGTGTGGCAAGGATGTGGAGAAAAAGGAACCCTCGTGCACTGTTGGTGGGAACGTAAACTGGTGCAGCCACTCAGGAGAACAGTGTGGAGGTTCCTCAGACAATTAAAAATAGAATTACCATATAATGCAGTAATTCTGGGTATTTACCTAAAGAAAACAAAAATACTAATTCAAAAAGATAAATGCCCCCCTATGTTTATTGCAGCATTATTTACAATAGCCAAGATATGGGAGCAACCTAAGTGTCAATCAGTAGAAGAATGGATAAGGAAAATATGACTTATATATGTGAGAAGAGAGAGTGTGTGAGAAAGGGAGAGAGAAATTGGAATCTATATGAAATATATATAAATGGAATATATACAATGGAATAAATTCTCTCTCTATATATGTGTATGTGTGCGTGTGTGTATACACACACAGTGGAATATTACACAGCCATAAAAAG